ACGTAATTCTTCTCTTTTGTACTCTGGAAGATTAACATACTAGTCATAAAATTCCTGGCAAACAGAACATTCCAATTTTGTGACAGTCTTGCTATAATCAATATCATGATATCCATGTCTGGATTCATCATTTGACGTTTCCTTGCAGATAGGATTTACATTTTCAGTGGCTGAAAATGTTTTATGGAGAAGTGTACCCTTCAGTTTCCAAAGAGAACAAAGTGGAGAATTATTTACATGCTCAGTAAAGTCTTCTGTGGTAACAAACTGCTTAAATCTGTAGGGCTTGCTTTTCGATGATGTAGACGTTTCTGCAGCTTGACTGGGATCATCAGATCTTTTTGGATGCTTGAAATTCATGGCCTTTAATTCACTGAGTAATTTATTGCTGTCAGTCCCTCGTCCCCATGTACAAGGTAAATCAGTACAAGATTTACCAGCATATCCATGTAACCAGGCTAGATGTACAGCATACATAATGGCTGCAACATGACTACATGACCTTCCATGACCAGCTGGGCAAGTGCAACATGCAGTTAATACAGTACCATCTTTCCTTGCAGCAATCCATGCATTGTAAGGAACTGTAGAGGCTCCTGGCTGAGAGGGTGACACACAGGCTTTAAGATAATGAACTTCATTTTCCACAATGCTTTGAATATCACCTAACCATCCATTCTGCACATAATTATATGCATATGTTGCTCGAAAAGCTTTCATTTCCTTGGAATCAAATGAGTGGGACTTAATGAGGTAGTCAATAATATCTTCATATCCTATCTGAGGCCAGTTTCCAGTATTATTGGTAACCCACTTGGCACTGCCTTCAGGTAGTGACTCTGTAACAGAAAGTACAATAATAACCATACCCACTCATCACATTTGACCTAGCCTCATTACAGATTGAGATAACTATCTGACCTAATTATATTTAACCAGCTGTTACTTCTAGTTACAAGAGAACGTCTTAATTTGTGTGAGATAAATAAGAAATATACTAGTACTTTTTAATAAAACAAATATGTAGATAAAAAAGTAGAAGGTATTTTTCACAAATTATTTGGTCAAGGTATAGTCAAAACGTAGTCATTTGTGAGCATTTAGTAAGAGATTACCGTGTGTAAATCTTGAAATTTATATAGCTAAATAATAAATTTTGACGATGGTTCTTGACATATCAAATCAAAATATAAACAAGACAACATTAGGGGAATATGTTTGGAAATATTTAAATGCCCTATACATATTTGAAAATACAGGCAAGTTCAAATTCAGAACACAGGCCTTATAAGATACAGGCGGCCTATAGTTTACATACAGTTTCACGTTAAATTCAACTTCGTTTAAAGGCCTTCAGTTTTCGTGCACAATACAATAGCCGAGTTACAACAAAATGCACATGATATTGACATTACTTGGTCATTTCTTTAAACTTTAGTACTTTAAATATATCTTACCTGCAATGTTTGTTTTAGACATGACATCAGAAATCCCTAAAACGAGATGTAATTGGACCTGTAAGTAGACGTTGTTTTTCGCGGCGTAAGCGTTGACTGGGCACCGTCTAGACTTGTTTGCAACGTCATAGATTGCCGCGGCGTTACAAATAGCACAGACCAGTTCATCGTTGCAGCCGCTTAATGGCTGCCACAAAATGGCGGCGCCCATGAAATAAGCCATGGAAAGGTCTATATGACCAGATGGTGGCCACATGAATACGTGCAAACACCTAGTTGCGGGTACAGCAACGTGCAGTAAAACTTGGACAAAGTACTGGGACTATGTGTCCCAGTCCACTCAGCTGTGAATGCGTACCTCGTAAGGATGGGAAAGCCACATTAACTAGGTGCTCCTAGTAGGCAGCAAAAGTTGTATGATCCCCAGGGAGTTGACATTGAAAATAGGATGTGTCGTTGTGATGGACATCCAATGATCTAGGGAAAACAAAGCGCCTTTGAGCAGTTGTACTGGATATCGGTGCTATACAAATCTTTGTTTGTATGTAAACAAAGACAAATTCCGATTTCACACTGCGTAGCATTTTCTGAAATTTTCATCCATCTATTCATTGCTTGCAATGGCTCAATACCTTTGGAATATGCATGGAAAGAGTATCGTAGCAAGAAGTAGTAAATTATAAATGGATACAATGCAATGATTTCATAATTGATAAGAAATTGTCAAAGTTTCTGTGCAGCGTGACGCCATGACTGACGCAAAATCACGCAGAACGAAAACGGTAATTATCAGCATTTTGGCTTCTTCTCTTACTTACAGTGAAAATGCTAAAAACATAACAATACACAGATAGTCAGAATCATTCTGATTACTTACATGTCATATTTCTGTACAAACGATCCCTGAATCAATGAAAGGGTCCTTGCAAAATCCTGTGTATCCTTGTCCGCAAAGCCGCCATTTTGTAAGAAATTGGTCATCGGTAGTGATGTCATACGTCAACATCGTTGTACATATTAGGCAATTTCTTTCAGGTAAGGTGGAGGTCGGTTAAACACAATCGCCCAATCCTTCCGATTACACTGTGAGTATTATGGTGTATATTTTGCGTATAGTTCAGATACTTTTTCATGAAACTGACTTCAGTATCTACATTTAACCTTGTCAAATATAATATCATACGTGCATATAGGGTTTACGGTGTTTTATTCTTTGAAAGTTTTTTATTGTATAGCCATAACTGCAATTACTTTAGTTCCTATGATGTACAATATTCAATGCATTTGGACTAATAGCAGTTTCACATGAACAGATTAATAAACGGCGAATTAATTCAACCTTATATATATAACTGATAATATTTAATGAAACTGATTTATATATGTTCTGAAATATGTATGCACACTTATTTAAAGAAATTGTCTTGTTTATTTCACCTTTTTATGGAAAATTAATGATGTATATTGATTGGCCAGGTGCGCGTTTGTCGGAAACGTTTTATGATTCACTATCGTTGTTTTCGATAATATAATCAATTCATATTCGATTTAAAAATATTGTGATGAGAGGATATCAAACTCTCACTGAATTTATATGAAAATTGTTTAAAAATATATAAACCATGTCATGTCTTAATTTGGACAAATCTTACATCCATATTCTAATATATAATACATACTAGTTCCATATATAAAAAGTTATCTTTTTACATCTTCCATTGCATACTTATGAAGAGAAATAGTTACATAATCGTAATCAAACAAAATTCTTATCCTAAACAAAATATTCGGGTGTTGTGAAATGTTATTTTTCATTTGCGTTAAATTGATCCCAAGCAGGTTCGCGTGTTGCTCACAATTAGACACACAGTCAAACTGTCTAATTGTTGATATATTCAACTATATGACGTCAACTAAAATGTTGCATTATTTTCAGCAATTTCATTACATTTGAAGATATGGCTAGTACTCTTGTAATAACGATGTAAAATTAGTCAAATTGCATCTACACAAACAGGAGAATATATGGGAATCTAAGAACTAACTTATATATCGGAAAGGGGCCATCCAAATCGATATTACGTGCTATCACATGTAGTACGTTGTCATCTTTTCTTATAAATTGTGAAACTACCAAAGCGCATCCGCTCACATTGGGGAACTTTGAATTGGGATAGTTTGGTTCACCGTGAACAAAAAATAACGAAAGTATGGCGTCCGTATCCACAACACGTTCTCAAATGTGATCTGAGTTACACTGATCTAGTGTTAAGCATAACGGAGTTATGTCCCCTTATCATTATACGTGTATGACCTATCTGTCGTCGTTTGACGTCATAGAACAAAATCCATTTTTGACATGTATTCCAAGTCATTTTTAATGTTGAGCGTATAACGTTATTTATCATACAATGGATAGTGTTCTCGGCAGGATAAAGCCAACGGATATATTCGGTATCCGTTGGGGTCATATACGGATATCGATGCAAATTAGAGAGGTCATATGCAAACTTCAGGGACTACTTTCACAGTGTAAACAAACATGGCGTCAAACGTCAGCGTGTCCGGATTGACGGCCGTGGTTACGGTACTGTCAGTGCTTTGATCCCAGAAAATTCATGCCTGGTTATGATAGATGGAATAGATTATAAAGCGAAGATAGAAATTCATAGGCTTACGAAGATACCAACATCAGTTCCCCGGCCGGGTCGGACTGTCAGTGTTAGCAAGAGAACGGCATAGGTGCACAATGTCACCGAACATTAAAGCGTATTTTGTTGTTCGAAAGGTTAATTGAAGGTTTCTGAAGGTTGCTGCATTAGGAATAAACACTATGTATTTAGCTCGCCAAGGCTCGCTAAATACAATGATTATTCCTAATGCAGGATATTAACCATCCCAAAACACACTCGCGTGATAACCTATATGTATGAGCACATAAACCCGATTCATATACACTTATGTCGATCAGATATCAGGCTGCATTTTCTTCGCTCACACTTTCCGTAAAGATGTCAGTCCAGATGCCAAATTAAAAAAATTGTAGCACAGTGCTTCTAAGGGTGCGCGATAAAAAGCGGAGAAAGTTACTGTTTTTTAACGCATATGAAAAATTTGGACAACATTAAGCAAGGTCTATTTCTCAAACTGAGTAGGTAGTTGCACTTATATTCATACCAACTGATAGGAAATTTAATATTCTACATCTCTGTGTAATTGTATAGCCGTACGTAGATACAGGACCAGCCGAGCGCAATTTTCGCACAACGTTCACTTTTCAAACATTGTGAAAATGTGCTCCTGAAAAAACACACTCGACATCCAGGGGGTTAAAAGGGTGTAAATGTAATGTCCTCATTTCAGACAAGAGTGCACAGCATCTCACGAAGTAGAAATGTATTCTATAGCTCGCGCTTTGCCTAAGTGGTTTCAGTAAGCAAAAATGAAAAAAAATACAAAATACATTTCTACTTCCGGGTCCCTAATTTTATGGAACATGTACTGTGTATACACATGGCAATATGTCATTATATAATGTGTTACCTTTGCTACTTCTAGGAGATGAAGTTGTCAACATCAAAGGTGTCTTTTCATCCACACCTGTATCTTCACTGTGTATTATCTCATGGTTTTCCACTCTGGGTCGAGACGACACATCGTTGCTTCCCGTACTCTTGCTATTACTGTCGCTCATCATTCTCTCCGAAACTATCGCTGTTTTAGTCAACAGTTTCTATCACGGAGAACATTCGATATATGAATTTATGACGTCATGCGCGATATTACGTCATAGTGGTTTAGTTTGGCGTCATAGAATGCATTGTGACGTCATGACGCTTTTTCTCACCCTCAGTAAGATGCGGGTAGCGCCACGCTGAGAGAGGACGAAGCCAACATCACTGCCACACGAATTTTCTTGACTGATTAGTCTTTGACTTGTTAATAATTCTCTCACCTTGCGTTGCATAAATCATGTTCTATCTAAATATAAAAAAGCAGATATAGTATTGTAACAGTGGATTAAATGGGTAAGTGATAGATGCCAATGAGTCTAATTGATGTACAAAAGGGAGGGTGGATGATAGTTTAATTGATACACAAAAGCAGGGATGACATACAAAATTTGCCAGGCTTTGGGTTGGTAAACCCCTTGATCTCTATTCATCTGTGGCCCCAATCTTTTAATGCTGATTGACTCTGAAATCTTGCGTCGTCGCCAATCATAGAAATTTGGTGTTATGATGGTTGTTGCTTGCCAGTCAAAGGAGTGTAATGGATTTTTCACAATGTGTTCAGAAACTTGCGATCTTATTTTAGCAGTCAGGTTTTGTGCTCAAAGGGCTATCTCTCCCCCATAGCTGCTGCAACAGTCACACGTTAGCTTGTAGGGGTCTTGAGTGGTGTTAGATGAATTACATCTTTCATTGGCACATCTATGCCGGCAGTTTTCTTGAGCAGTCGGCTGATCTGGCCTTGGAAGGGAATGGTTACTGTAACCGGGGATGGCTCAGGTTTGGGTTGGCGTTCTTCTTGCTGTTGGAGGGTCGATGCTAGGGTTCTGTCAACAACATGTTTGGTATAGCCGCTGAGGTTGATGAATGTGCTTCTTACTTGGTCTATTTCAGCTTGGAGATGGTCGGGGTCGAAGATGGATCTGGCTCGTCTGGTCAGGGGTGATACTATAGCGCGTTGGTTTGGTTTGGTGTATTCTCATGCAGATCACAATAATGACACAGAGAAAAAAATACCAATGTACAGATTTGTTTTTGGAACATACGTCGACCGGATTTCACATATTTGCTTATTTTCAACAGTAGTGCTTTATGCGTACAAGACATTAGGGATATAAATTTATCTAATGATGGATAATTGCAATAATAGTTTGGTAGAAATGAATTTCTTACTTTTCTTAAATATGGGCAGTATAACATGAAGTGACGTTCTCTCCTATTGTTTTCTTACATTATTTACATAATCTTTCTTCATTACTAGCATGCCATCTGATTTGTTTCTATTGGGAGTGTATGGTTACAAGGTTGGTCTGGATAGAGAGGTAATGAATATCCTGGTTCTGTAGACGGAGAAATTTCTGTAGACGGAGAAAGCTAATTTGTTAGGGGGGGGGGGGGTTGGCACGTCTAGGAACGGCAGTTTCTGTTGGTCTTCTATCTCCATCGTGAAGTGGATGCGCAGGTGCTGCTTGTTGAGATGGTCGAGGAGGAATGCAGGGTCGTGGTCGGGATCTAGGATGGTGAAGGTGTCATCCACCTTTCTGTACCAGCAGAGTGGTTGAAAAGGCAGTGTTCCCAGGGCTGTATCTCTGAAGTTGGCCATGAAGAGAATGGCCTCGTCAAGTAGAATCTTCGTGAACAGGTCTTAGTTAACCATAGTGTGAGTTAGGTTAGAGTCAGTTTTATGAGACTGCACTTTTGTAGTCTCATAAACCTAGTCCCAACACAGTACCCCAGTTTCTGATTGGGGAAAACGTTCGAATATACACTATTTAATCCGCTTCGCACTACCCCCATGCATAGTGTAAAGTAGACCTTTGCCCTGAATTATTATATTTAAAGTACGACGACGTTTGCGCCCGAGAGTTTTAACGTTATATTTGTCGCCGGATGTATTTCCCAATACACAGAGTATATCTTACTTCATTCCGCTTTGCTCATTTACGAGCGCTTCTTGTCTCACTCTTGCTATAGTTATAATACCAGTAGTATCTCGTGCATTACCTGTTCCGTGACATCTCGTGCATTACCTGTTGCGTGACGTAGGCATCTTCATGTTTGCCACTTCATGTCACGCCACGGCCGAGATGAGAGATGTCTGTTTTCTGTAATTTGCTCATGATATTCTACATTATATCAAGTGCAATATTATTTAGAATGCTGTAAATACCACATGATGTATGTAATTTGTGCAATGTTTAAATACGTGCAATCTTGATATCTGCGACTTCATGTCACGCCACTGCCGAGATGAGAGATGTCTGTTTTCTTTAATTTGCTCATAATATTCTACATTATATCAAGTGCAATATTATATAGAATACTGTAAATGCCACATTATGTATGTAATTTGTGCAATGTTATATGCAATCTTGATATCTGCGACTTCATGTCACGCCACTGCCGAGATGAGAGATGTCTGTTTTCTTTAATTTGCTCATGATATTCTACATAATATCAAGTGCAATATTATATAGAATACTGTAAATACCACATAATGTATGTAATTTGTGCAATGTTAAAATACGTGCAATCTTGATATCTGCGACTTCATGTCACGCCACTGCCGAGATGAGAGATGTCTGTTTTCTTTAATTTGCTCATGATATTCTACATAATATCAAGTGCAATATTATATAGAATACTGTAAATACCACATAATGTATGTAATTTGTGCAATGTTAAAATACGTGCAATCTTGATATCTGCGACTTCATGTCACGCCACGGCCGAGGTGAGTTGTTGCACCCCTCGGTCATACATCACCTTCGACTGATGTCCATATATATGTTACAGTTTACGGAATAAACAGATTTTAAAGAATTACGCCTCGGTCTGATTTATCTGCGGTCAGGACTCGTGACATAATAGTGCAGGGAAAAGGTACTTTATTACACTATACATGGGGGTAGAGCGAACTGTATTTCTTTTCTAAGATGCCATTTTGAATACACGCAAATATTAATCTAAACAAAGGGACGGTGTCGGTGATCTAAATTACCAATCCTTGTTCAGGGCTAACTGACGGGCTCTTCCAGAGACGTGTCTTCCCCCTGTGTTAAGATGTACGTTGCCATAAAACCAAGTGATAAACAGTTTGAAAACGACGTACGTTCGGGTATAATATTTTCTCTGTATTATTTAAGTTACGTCTGGGACAATAAGAACGTGGGACTTCTACTACCAACGTAAGTTTAGAACAGTAAACAGGATGACGTTGACTAGTCACGCGACATTCCACGGATGCATTGTGGGACTGTTGACATAGGCTTAGTCAGCCAACATTGCCGTGTCGCTGTTTAATTCTGATTCGAGCTGAGACATTTATCCTTCAGAAAAAGGTTAAACGTAATGTTTCCACCAGTTATGTTAGCCGAGTGAAGCAGCTGCAAACCAGGAAACGTGGTATAACGGGGTAGTTTGCTGCTGGAGGCTGCACGTGGAGATACAACTGACATGCATCGTTACCAAGGGTACGTCTTATAACGAGGGGGCAGACGAGAATGGCGTAGTGACGTCAATACAATTTGACGTAATGCACAAAAGTGGACTTTATTGCCTGATAAAGTACTGTCGGTGACTTTGATCCAGTAGAGAAGCAATTTGCTACTTGCATAAAATCCTTGGAGTGCATCACTGTGAAATTAACATGAATTGCATCATAGTTCTGACGTGTGTTCGTACAGCCCGCCGTCATATAGTTGGAATGTTATTGATCATAGTTGGGACGTGTGTACGTACAGTCCGCTGTCATATAGTTGGAAAGTTGTTCATCATAGTTGGGACGTGTGTACGTACAGTACGCCGTCATATAGTTGGAATGTTGTTGATCATAGTTGGGACGTGTGTACGTACAGTCCGCTGTCATATAGTTGGGAAGTTGTTGATCCTAGTTCGGACGTGTGTACCTACAGTCCGCCATCAAAATGTTAGAATGTTCTTGATCATAGTTGGGACGTGTGTACCTACAGCCCGCCGTCATATAGTTGGAATTGTTAATGATCATATTTGGGACGTGTGTACGTACAGCCCGCCATCATATAGTGGGAATGTTATTGATCCTAGTTGGGACGTGTGTACGTACAGTACGCCGTCATATAGTTGGAATGTTGTTGATCCTAGTTGGGACGTGTGTAACTACAACCCGCCGTCATATAGTTGGAAGGCTATTGATCATAGTTGGAACGTGTGTACCTACAGTCCGCCGTCATATAGTTAGAATGTTCTTGATCATAGTTGGGACGTGTGTACCTACAGCCCGCCGTCATATAGTTGGAATGCTAATGATCATAGTTTGCACGTGTGTACCTACAGTCCGCCATCAAATAGTGGGAATGTTATTGATCCTAGTTCGGACGTGTGTACGTACAGTACGCCGTCATATAGTTGGAATGTTGTTGATCCTAGTTGGGACGTGTGTAACTACAACCCGCCGTCATATAGTTGGAAGGCTATTGATCATAGTTGGAACATGTGTACCTACAGTCCGCCCTCATATAGTTGGAATGTTCTTGACCATAGTTGGGACGTGTGTACCTACAGCCCGCCATCAAATAGTTGGAATGTTATTGATCAAAGTTGGGACGTGTGTACGTACAGTCCGCTGTCATATAGTTGGAAAGTTGTTGATCCTAGTTTGGACGTGTGTACCTACAGTCCGCCGTCATATAGTTAGAATGTTCTTGATCATAGTAGGGACGTGTGTACCTACAGCCCGCCGTCATATAGTTGGAATTGTTAATGATCATATTTGGGACGTGTGTACGTACAGCCCGCCATCATATAGTGGGAATGTTATTGATCCTAGTTCGGACGTGTGTACGTACAGTACGCCGTCATATAGTTGGAATGTTGTTGATCCTAGTTGGGACGTGTGTAACTACAACCCGCCGTAATATAGTTGGAAGGCTATTGATCATAGTTGGAACGTGTGTACCTACAGTTCGCTGTCATATAGTTAGAATGTTCTTGATCATAGTTGGGACG